GTCTAGCATCGACTCTTGTCTTGTTCACTGTGAAGATATAGGCCTAAACATTTTTGTGTGAAATTTTCATGTCAAAAATCTAACATTTCTGGTCTTTTTTAATCACACTATAAAAATGTTTGATTAAAATGAACAAATTCTGATGTGATTAACCAAAAGAAAAAAGCAACAATGTTCTGAATGTAAGCTGTTTTTTAAATTATAATTCAGATTCAAAAGTTTCTTTTAAAAAAGTATGACACTGGACCACAGGTCTCAGCAAATCAACATTAAAAATAAACATAAAATTGAGACAAAGAAAGACAATTTGTTTGGTTGTTTTATTTCCTTGTATCGATGCGTTTTGGCAGTAAATCTTACATTAGTCTGTTTCATCTTAAGTAATGTTAACAGTTAATTTGTTGGTTAAGCACTGTTGGGATATTATTCCATTCTGCAAGCAGAAAGAGTTAGTAAGTCAGCACTGTGGCTGATCTCACAGGCGTTTTATGCGGTTGTCGTCAGGACCTCAGGCAGGACATACCGTCCTCTCCACTCCCAGATCCTGGAGGTAGTCTCTGATCATTTTTACTCTGTGGAGATGCGCATTCCTGTTTTGAATGACAGTTTACTGGTTGCTCAAAACAAGAGTCAATAGCAAAGTGAAATGAATGGCATTTGGCAAGTTTCTCATATGTTAACTATCCTAACTATTTCACAGAAAATAACTTCAAATAGAACTGGACTGTTCTTTTTGGAGAACCTGTTCTGCTACACTTGTGGTGTTTTGATGTTCCCCTAATGAGAAACCTTAATTCTGAGTGATTTTACTTTTTTTTTCAAGCAAAAAATATGTTTTATTTTGTTGAGCCAGAATTTTAAACAGTAAAATAAAAATCCAAGTAATTCTCTTTTTTTAAATTTTCTGAACGATGCAAAGATGTGAGAAATTTCTGGAAGGGTTTGCATCTCTAAAGATAAGTTTTGTAAAATTACACAACGATTTATCACGACTCAATCAAGCAAACAGGTTCCAGGAGCAAAATTACTAGTTGTATTTTTAAAGATCTGATCAGCTCAAACAGATGTGACAAGCCCAAAGACAACAGAAATAACGCAGTTTGAGTATGCAAACACCAACAACAATAAAACTGGCTCTGAAAGGACAGTTGAATATTGAGACAACTGAGGTAGAACAACAGAAGTTAAACAGAATGTTACAAACAGAAACAGACACTGTAAGACATGGGGCTCAAGAATTGATTTAAAATGAAGACAAATTAATGATAAAATTAAATCTGTCACCTAAACAATAAACTGCAACTCTATTATAATTATGTAATTAACAAATATTTTGTGTATTTAGAGTCGTAAATTATATTAGTTTTCTCATTAAACTGCCTACAAGAATGTCAGTGGTTTCTGATTTCTGGTTTATGATGTGTGAAATCTACAAGTGCTCATGCGCCACCTTGACTTCAAATGCTAAAGTGCAATAAAGCCAGAGGTAGTGCAGCAAGTTTCTCTGAAAATTTCACAACAAACTGGTTTCTTTAGTTTGGAGGATTCACTCACAGGTGCAGTGGGAGAGGTATAGCAGTTCAGCTTGGTAAGTCTGCTTTTTTTTCCCTTTTGGGCAGTAGCTTCTTTAGCACACTTATCTTCAGCTGCTCTTCCTCACAGATGGAGCTGCCAACTCGACCGACACTTTTTGATTTCCATGGCGTCTCCATGACCAAATATTTCACTGACAACTGGGAAAACATCCAGAACTTTGAGGCCAGACCAGATGATATTCTTATAGCCAGTTACCCTAAATCAGGTGAGGCTCTGAGGCTAAAAATATCAAACCCTTATCATAGGGTATTTTGAATAAATACTTATTTTGTCTTTTTTCTGAGCAGTTTGTTTCTTGTTCTAATGTCAGGAACCACATGGGTTTGCTACATGCTGGATCTCCTGTACTTCGGCAACATGTGTCCAGAGCGTCAGACTTCTGTTCCTCTGCATGAGAGAGTGCCCTTCTTGGAGATCTGTGCACCTCCTCGACCCAAAGGTTTGATCACATGGGAGCTCAGATATATTTAAATTACAAGCACATCTCAACAAACTAAACAAGGGATGGGCAACTCAGTGAGATGAAGCGGAATGACATAAGATGCCTTGAGGTCAGACTCCGGAGTAGTCTTGGTAAAAAGTCCCTGTTGTTTATGTATTTGTGACTTCAGTAAACTTCTGGTATTTAGCTTTGTGCAACGGGATGACTTGTATTAAAAATCCTTCATGGCAGATAGGGTCTATATGCAGAATAAACACACTGATTACAGACGGTCTATACCCCCCCAAAATATGTATTTAATATTTTTTGACTTATAAAAAATACTCAAAGCAGCTCCTAAATTTTACAAGCTGCTTTTCTGTCCAGCTCATTGGCAGGCCCTTGCCCATCCCTGAACTACAACATCGTTAAAAAAGTTTAAATTACCCTCCTTTAAAAAATCAAAACTGATTTTTAATCTATAGTTTTTAAACCTTCAGACCAACTTTTATAATAATCACACTAAACATGTTGCACATTTGGCAAACTTAACTTGTCCTTTTTTTAAAAAAACAAAGGAACAGACCTGGCAGATCAACTCTCCACTTCTCCTCGTCTCATTAAAACTCATCTACCAGTCCAATTTGTACCAAAGTCCTTCTGGGAGCAACGCTGTAGAGTAAAAACACACTTGTACATATACAGTATATATAGAAATAAAAATTAAATGCTACAATCTCAATTATATACTATTTTCAAAGATTGTCTATGTGGCTCGTAATCCAAAAGACAATGTTGTGTCTTACTACCACTTTGCTCGAATGAATGGTGACCATCCGGAAGTGGGAGACTGGAGCACCTTCCTGCAGGACTTTATGGAGGCAAAGAGTGAGTTGTTTCAAAATAAAAGAGCCACATCATTATTGCCTGAAGGGCAGCGGTCGAAATGCATGTTTCTATGAGTGTGTTCTCGCATGATGTCGTTTCAGTGGTGTTTGGATCATGGTACGAACATGTAAACAACTGGTGGGAGAAGAAACAAACTTATTCAAAACTTCACTACATGTTTTATGAAGATTTGTCTGAGGTGCAGTGAGCTGAACTTTATAATATTTTTAACATTTTTCCAACGACTTATTTAATCAAAACATGTTAAAGGTTCACCTGAAAGGGAGTTTTTTCTCTCCCGCACAAGATACTACCATGCATCTGCAATTTTTGCTTTTGTCTTACCTTTTATGTGAGCAGAACTCTGGACGAGAAATAGACCGACTGTGCTCCATCTTCGGCTTATCTCCATCAGCTGAAGAAAAGGAAAAAGTCAGAGCCGCAGTCATGTTTGACAATATGAAACAGGACAAAATGGCAAACTTCTCCACGATTCACATAATGAAGCAGGACGTGTCGCCTTTTATGAGAAAAGGTCTGTGAAAATCCAATTTTTCACATTTTGTTTCTAAATCTCCTTAATTAACTTGATCTTTTCCAGGAAAAGTGGCAGACTGGAAGAACCATTTCACCGTGTCCCAGAACGAACACTTTGATGAAGATTACAAGCAGAAAATGAAGTATCCTGAGCTGCGCTTTCGTACTGAAATTTAGAGGTTTAGTTGCAATTAATAATGCCAAAACTGACATTGGAACTGCGGATTAGTGGATTAATTGTCACAGCTAAATATTTTTAAGAATTGGTCACCTTTGATTTTATTCTTTAATCTCACCAAAAAATGGTCAGATTATAAATATTTAATTAATAGTGACTAAGGGTTTGTGATCTTGACTTGTTTTTAGTCAGACCTTCACTCGATTTAAACTAAAGCAGCATTTTAAAAGACAAGTGGGTCCAAATTCCTCAACAGTATGGAGACTTTAAATCATTGCTGCAAACATGGTTTTACAGATTTTTTTTTTCATTTTGGAGTTTATTCTTGTTTTTATAAACATCAAGCGATTTGGCTTGGTGGTTGTCAAACAAACAGGAGTGTCCAGTGTAATGTTCATCTGAGCTACATAACTGTTTACTATGTCCTGACATGTAAAACCTCTAAAATGGAAAGATTTACTTTCAGTATCATATTGTATTATTTCAACTAATGAATGGTCAGAACACTCTTGCGTAAGTCTTTGAAATAAAAAGCTGAGCTGCTAAGACAACTCTGAAGTTGACTTTCAATTGAACAATTTGATAAGTTTAAGGAAACATCTTTCTAAAACTTAAACAGCTCTGTCATAATTCTCTGCCAAACAACTTATTCTAACACTGATTACTGAGGGGATGATTGAAGTCTTAAAAAAGGGACGACCTATGACATAGGCGTTATAGACAAATGCTAAGGGCTAAGTCCATCTAAGGGCCAGAAATGGGTGACAAGAAAATAAATATTTTATAACTTTTTATCAGTGTATAGCTGATTAAATCTGTAGAAAATGTAGAATAATCACTGATTACTCAGGTTTATGAAGGTAACCTGTTCTGTGAGTTTTTCAGCTGCTTTGTTACTTATGAGGTGTTTTATGGTGCAGAGGATGTTTCATAATAAAAGTATCATATGATGCAGTCAAGACTCAGTGTGTAAATAGAAAACAAAATAAGAATAATGGAAGTTTTAGTTACGTGTGAGATAATGTTCAGGTTAAAGTCTGGTTTTCAGAATTCCACCTTCATAAAATACTGATTTTGTGTTTTCTTAATTCCAAGAATTTAGTAAAATGCTCCTAAAATGGTTGGAAGATGCATGGTGTTGATTAGATCTTTTACAAAAATTTCCAAGGTAGTACACACCTACAACCCCCTAGAACTGTTTCACTCCACAGCTGCGCGTCAACATGAACAGGTGTTCCTCATTGCTCATCTAATCAGGCAAAAGTTAAACTTCTGGCAGACTCAGCACCATTGGCATACACAAACGCTGTGTCCAAAACGGTGGGCCGGGTCCTACGAAGGCCAAATTTGTAGGCTGCTTATGTCACAGCGCCGCGACAAAGGCGGTCCAAAACTGAAGACTCCTCCCATGCGGACAACAAATGCGTCCTTCCTTTGGCCCAAACTGAAGGACTGGTCTGATGGATCCTTCCCGGCCCACCATATCCCATAATGCATTGTGCCTCGACCGGAGATTTTTTTATGCTGTAATTGCGGGCGAAGGGAGTAAAAAGAATGCATTTTAAATCAAATATATGGCGTCATAAAAAGTGAAAATTTCAATCATTTGTGTTGTTAATACTTTTGTCATTTGTATAGCCATGTTTTTAAATTTTACTTTTGTCAGAAAACAAAAACGTGAAATACACATGCACCTACGGTGGGTCCATTAGTTCTTCAAATATTAACTTTAACCTAATTTTATTGTTTTGTGTTATTAATAACACTAATAAATTAATATTTTTCTAATTTAAATCTAATTGTGCTTCTGTTTAGCGTCGTCACTATAGGCAGTATGTACGGTGGGTTAAGGACGGGAGGCTAGACCATCCAAATTCACAGACACCTTTTTATGGTCTTCCCGGTCTACCAAGGAGGCTGGGTCCTTCGGAGGAACCGGCCTGCCGGTTTGGACACAGCCAAGGTCTATACCAGAGGAGCCCAAAGTGGGGCCCGCGGGCCAAATTTGGCCCGTCAAGCCATTTGATTTGGCCCACCAACAGTTGCCAAAGTTACAAGSTTGTAACCTGTTATCCTCTGTAAAAACACAATATTTTCATTGGTCAAATGACTATATAAAAGGGCTGTAGTGAAGGTAGTTTTCAGTCATGGTGCTGACATTATCTTTGATTTATTAGGATTAAACATGAAACATGAAATGACAACAAGAAATATTTAGATCAGATTTAACCCCACATGTAGATTAGCACACTTTTATAAGGCCACAGAAACTCATATTTTATCAATTTATGAAATATCCCATGAGCCTTTGCTACTTGAGCATATGGCAGACTTTCTCCAAGTGCACAGACTAAAACAAAAGAGGACCATTGCACAGCTTAATCGTTAAAAATAAAGGACTTAAAAAAGTATTTGTATTTCATGCATTATATTACTGCATTTGGCCCACTGCCCTGGATAGATTTTCATTTTGGCCCTCTCGGGGAAAATGTTTGGGCACCCCTGGTCTATACAGTATCTATTTTCCTTTTCCATCAGGGCTTTATGCTCTATGACCGATATCATGGCTGATAATTCACTAACTATTGAAAACCCTTTCATAGAACATCACTTGAAGACTGGACTGTCCCTTTTAAAGAATGTGATCTGCTACACTTGTAGTGTTTTGGCATAGCTGAGTAACTTTATTGTATTTTACAGGTTTTAAATCTTGTTCCTGTAACAAACATGGTTTATTTTTATCCGTTGACCCAAGCACAGGTAACACAGGGAGGCAGACAGGCTTCCAGAACAAAATTCGTTTTATCTTCAAAGGTCTAACAAAAACAAACAAACAAAAAGACTTATAAAAGAAATAAAGACAACTATGCAAACAAGTTATAGACAAAGATCTGATGGTAAAACACCAGGGACAATAGAACTGAGTCAGAAAAGACAGGTGAACACTGAGACTGTTAAGAAGAACAAAAGAAGTGAAACAGAACCTAACACACAAAAACAGACAATTAAAACAGGAACTATGACTCGGGCTCAAGCGTATAAAAATAAACACAAACTAATAATAGATTTCCATCAGTCACCAAAAGAAGAAAATATAACACTGTCATGAATAATTATTTAACATGAATGATATTAGTTTTCTCATTAATGTCCACCAAGAAAGTAGTTTTTCCAGAATGAAGTTAAGATATTAACTTGTGTTTAGGAGCAGGACCACGCCTCTCACCTTCAGCTAATCAGTCAGCATCTATTTAAACTCGCCTCACCTGGCGTTCTGCCCTCAGCTCGCCGTCTCGGCACCCACCCTCCCCTTTCTCACCACTTTGGCCCCTTTGCACGCTCTCATCGTGCCACCTTCCTCACTCCCTTCATCCCTTCCTCATCCCTCCATCCCTTCATCCCCTCCCCACATTCCTTCGTCCTCTTCCTCATCTCTTCCTCATCACTTCATCCCTTCATCTCTGCATCTCTTTCTTTCACTTCCATCCCTACCTCAAACTGCCTCCTAATCCATTCCTTATCAGGTTCCAGGGGGTCCAAAGCAAGCTCAGGAGAAAGCATCCTTCCTGGAGACCATGCCCCACTCTGAGTCTTCTCCTCAAGCCTCCTTTGATGTACCTCCCCGGACGTTTCATCTTTCATCCCACTACCCCTCGACTCCTTCCTTCAAGAAAATATTTAAACTCATACCATGGTGTGGTCCTTGCTAGTGAAATGTTGCTTTATTCATTTTCTAAAGAGAAAGACATAAAAATAATTCAGATTATTTTTTCTGTTTTACAAATGTTCTGATGAGACAGTGATTTGATGTACAGTGAAATTCATGTTACATGCTAAAACCCCTTTCTAGTCACGCATAAGTGTTGACACATGACATCACCATCACTAGAAGTAGTAAGCAGGAAGTACTGCAGCATGTTCCTCTGAAAATTGCACAACAAACTGGTTTCTTTAGTTTGGAAAATTCACACTGAACTACACAGTGAGAGCTATAGCAGTTCAGCCTGGTAAGTCTAATTTTTGCCTTTTTTTTGTTTTTTTAAAAGGTTTGCATTCAATCAACCAATGACATTTGGGATTATAGTAAGTCTGTTTTAAGATGACTCAATTAATATTTGTCAGATTAATGAGCTGGTGTGTCTCCAGGGAAGAAGGATTAAAATGGGGAAGCATAAAACGTATTCACAATCAAAGAGAGCATTTAAGTTCACAGGAGACAGCTGCCATAAATCAAACAGTTCTGGATGTCATTTTGCTCATGCATAATTTAGAAAATCTGCTTAAGTTCAACATATGTTAAATTGAGACTTAAAAAAATCAAAATCATTTATTAGTATATTTAATCTGTGTGTGTGAAAACAATCAGCTGTGAAGGATATGTTGTAATTTAAGTTTCTTCATTTTTCTAGCACTAAGATAGATGTCTTCACTGCTAAAACAAACTGCATTGTCTTTGTTTCTGTTGTTGAATCTCTTTCGGCTGCTGCCTTCTTCAGGGTTCACCACAGTGCGTGAACTCACACAAACGAATTGACAATTATTTCAAGCCGAACACCCCTGCTGATGCAACCTGGGCTCAAAACCACAGCCTCTGGGTTAGTCTTTGTTTAATAACTAAACACCATGTATGACTTAATTTAATTAGTATATTATGTTAAAAATACATTTTACATAGCAGTCTCCATCTTTACAGCATGTGAGTGTGTTCTCTTCACACCTCTTGTGCGTTTTATACAGCAAACGTAGACTTTGTTTTAGTTTAATGCATTACAAACGTTGGCGTTAGAGTTTTGAGCAGCAGCATGTTTGGCATCCAAAACATCTTCAGCTGCTCTTCCTCACAGATGGAGCTGCCAACTCGACCGACACTTTTTGATTTCCAAGGCATTTCCATGATCAAATATTTCACTGACAACTGGGAAAACATCCAGAACTTTGAGGCCAGACCAGATGATATTCTTATAGCCAGTTACCCTAAAGCAGGTGAGGCTTTGAGTCCAGAAATACTAAAACCCTTACCATAGTAAGTGTTTTTAAATAAACTTTAGTTGATATGTTTCAAACAAAGTTTCTTTTTCATGTTAATTGTCAGGAACCACATGGGTTTGCTACATGCTGGATCTCCTGTACTTTGGCAACATGTGTCCAGAGCGTCAGACTTCTGTTCCTCTGCATGAGAGAGTGCCCTTCTTGGAGATCTGTGCACCGCCTCGACCCAAAGGTTTGATCACCGGGTCAAGTAGACCCTCAGATAAATTTGAATTACAAGTACATCTCATCAAACTAGAATATCATAGAAAAGTTCATGTATTTACATAATTCAGTTCAGAAAGTGAAAAGAAAAAGGGATTTAATCACAAAGAGCTAATAAACTAAATTTGCCCATTTTTTAAACCAAAGGAACAGACCTGGCAGATCAACTCTCCACTTCTCCTCGTCTCATTAAAACTCATCTACCAGTCCAGTTTGTACCAAAGTCTTTCTGGGAGCAGCGCTGTAGAGTAAAAACACACACTTATAATAAAAATATATAAATATGAACGCTAGAACCTAAATGATGTATTATGTTTCCTTAGATTGTCTATGTGGCTCGTAATCCAAAAGACAGCGTTGTGTCTCACTACCACTTCAGCCGCGTGAACAGGATCCTTCCTGAAGTGGGAGACTGGAGCACCTTCCTGCAGGACTTTATGGAGGGAAAGAGTGAGTCGTTTCAAAATAAAGGAACAATATCATGCTTAGGTGTGTTTGCCTGTGTTAGAAAAATAAGTAATCACAGATGTGCATCTACAAGTAGGCTAATTCATTTTTAGAGTTAACCACATTTAAGATGGCCATCACTGCTTAGCATAAAAAATGATTTTCCCTCTATCAGTTTTACAAACATTGAGCTAAATTTGCTGGTTAGGCAATGGAAATGACTGGAAATGACTGGAAGAAAATCAACAGTCCCAAAAGGTGCATGTTGTTCTGTCATTTCAGTGGTGTTTGGATCGTGGTACGAACATGTAAACAGCTGGTGGGAGAAGAAACAGACTTATTCAAATCTTCACTACATGTTTTATGAAGATTTGTCTGAGGTGCAGTGAGCTGAACTTTTTTTTCTCTCTTCTCAAAGACTTGTTAACCTTTGACTTGTTAACCTTTTAAAGCACGTTAAAGTTTCACCTCACGGGGAGTTTTCTCACATAGAAGAAACACTAAACTTTTATTTATTTATTTATTTTTACGTGGGCAGAACTTTGGACGAGAAACAGACAGACTTTGCTCCTTCCTCGGCTTATCTCCATCAGCTGAAGAAAAGGAAAAAGTCAGAGCTGCAGTCATGTTTGACAACATGAAACAGGATAAAATGGCAAACTTCTCCTCCACTATCCAAACAATGAACCAAGATGTGTCTCCTTTTATGAGAAAAGGTCTGTAAAAATTACATTTTTCATCAGAATTTGTTTGTCTTTTACTAACTAACTGTTTAACCCAATGATATTTTTCAGGAAAAGTGGCAGACTGGAAGAACCATTTCACCGTGTCCCAGAACGAACACTTTGATGAAGACTACAAGCAGAAAATGAAGAACCATGCTTTGTGCTTTCGTACAGAAATATAGAGGTTTAACTGCTGGTAACTGAGTCCAGAAAACTGACATTTGAACAGTCAGTTAGAAAGCTGAGAACAAGTATTCATCCACAGCTATTTAAGAGATTAGTGACTTGACATACAGTCTTTAATCTGACTTTAAAAAAATGTCAATTTCTAAATGCTCTCTATGTATTAAACACGGTGGTGGAGGAATAAACATATGAACATCTGGCAGTCATTAGTCAATCTTGGCCAGGAGTCCCCTGCAAAGAAGATTTTTCCTTGTGAAATAAAGGTTAATAA